TCCAAAGCTTTACTCAGATGGAAGCAGGGTCTTTGAGGGGTTTCATCTAGGTCACACCTGTTTACATTGTGACTGAGCATAGTACTACTGCAGTGGGGTTTGGACTGACAGGGTGGGCTGGAGAGAGTATTTTTTGGGAAACTATTCAAGCTATTCAAACCATGACCTTAAGGATGAACAGAAGAGACATGGAGGTGCAAAGGTGTGGGCCAGCATGCAGTACATCACCCCTTTTGCAGTTCCCAAACAGTCAGTGTGAACTCAACAGTAACCAGTTACTGTTGAGGATGAGCATTTGATTTCCAGGTCCTGTAGAGAAGACTGGTGCCATTAACTGGTACTTCTGTGCCTATTGCAGGTTGTGTAATGTGGTCTGCTCTCCATGATACCAACCCGTCATAGACTTCTGCCTATGAAAGAAACCTGTACTGAAGCTGATACTGAATTACTTGCTTGCGTGGTTTTGAAGCTGTGTTTCATTTGTCACACTGCAGCCTGTAGCTTGAAAACTTGCTGATAAAGTCTCAGGTTGGCTTGAGTGGAAGAGGCAAAGATTTTCTGTGATTAAGTGGATGCTTTTGTTTCTATTTCAGGAAAGCCCCACAGCATTGGCAGCTCTGAACGGATTCAGCTCTCAGGAATGTACAATGTTCGAAAAGGGAAAATACATTTGCCAGTCAACAGATGGACAAGACGCCAAGCTATCCTTTGTGGAACATGCCTAATTGTCTCATCAGTAAAAGAAAGCCAGACTGGAAAGATGCATGTCCTCCCTTTAATTGGTGGAAAAGTAAGATATTTTATTTTATCTATTTGCTTGCTTAACTAACTGCTATCTCTCTAGGCAGAGAAGGTGGCATTCAATTATGATGATTCTGACCCTCCAAAAGTTTGTTTCTGTAAGTGGGATTATCAAAGTATATAAATGACTTTTGATTGTGGTCAGAGTTGTGTTTAACAACTTACATTGTTTGGATTAAAATGCTAAAGTAAAGCAAGGGAAAGACATTCGTTTTCTTTCTTGTGTGCAGTGTTAAATGTTTTATATGGCTCTAGTACAGAGCCAAAGGATACATGCAGCTGTATTGTGTATGATCTGAACCATGCCTCCTCATCCAGGTTTTATCCATGCTGGGTTACTCCTGAGATCTGAAGATAACCAATAAAAGCATGGGCTTATTTTGAACATCGGGGTTTTTTTTGAGTGTTCAGCATTGTATGAGTAGTGATCTGTTGTAAGCTAACAGCAACAAACATTTTTACTTGTGAAAAGCTGAAACTGGACATTTCATCTGAAAATGATTGCATCTGAAACCCAGGAGGCTCAGACTGAACACAAGAAATTTTTTTTTTCGCTGTGAGGTGACCGAGCACTGGCTCAGATTGCCCAGAGAGATTGTACAGCCTCCCTCCTTGGAAATATTTATAAGCTCACTGGACATGGTCCTGGTTAACTGGCTGTAGATGGCCCTGCTTGAGACAGGGGGATTGGACTAGATGACTTCCAGAGGTTCCTTCCAACCTCAACTATGCCATGAATTCTGTGAAACTCTAGTGAAGACAGTAAGTGAAGACAACATTACTATTTCAGCCTAAATAGTGTTTCAGAACACTATTATTGGCTTGATTAGCCATGGTAATGGGAGAGAATCATCAGCTTGAGGATAGATTTACACGTGAAGTAATGCTCCTTCACCTTGTGTACTGGTAAATATGATTCGTAAGAGTCATTGGGAGAAAAAAAAGCTTCACAATGTTATATATGCAGACTGGAGTCGATTTCATTAATACTAGCAATGTGGAAAGTAGTGCTGCCTTCTAAGAGCTGTTTATCTCTTTTCATGATTATTCATGTGATTCAACTCTTCCTTGGAGGTACTAAAGTAGAGACACTATGCTCTCTTTTTTTAGCAGCAGTGGGTGAACTCAAACAGTGAATTGTATGCCTGGCTTGCAAGCACACTGGAGAGGACAGTATTCAGGTCCCCATTGGTCTTCTCTTTGAGATGATGAAAAAGATCTTTATTTTTGTTTTAAACTGAAAAAGAGAAGAGATTGTGTACCTTTTTTTAGTTGTTTAACATGGAATTTCTAAGTTGGTTTTGCACAGAAATGCCTTGTGTAAAACATGCAGACTGTGTTAAGCAGAAAGTTGTCAACAAATTTTAAAATACAAGGAGAACCAAGCTGATAAAAATGTACTGAGGGCTTCGGCTGACAAAGCTTGGGAGGAGGATGCTTGGCACAGAGCTAAGTGTTTTTTAAATTATCGCTCAAAAAATATTCTTCCTCAACCCCATAAATACTCTGCACTTCCTGGTTTGCAAAGGCTTTCCAAAATGCGACGCTGAGACGTTGAGACCATAAGTTGTGTAGGACTTCTCGTGTATGGTAGCAGAATGATGTATTCTGGGTGTTTTTTAGCAAGTTGAGAAATGCCAAAGAATTTAATTGGTCTGTAAGAGAAGCATTTTGTTAAGCCTGTTTTTAATAACCAGGAGTATAAATTGTACTACTTTAGGTTGTATAAAGAAAGCCTTAAATGTGTTTCACTGGGAAATCTTTTTTGGTCCTCAGTCTCTCTTAAAATGTTGATGTTCTTGGTGTTTTTCTCCTTTGGTTACTTCATCCTTCTATTCTCATTCCTTGCTTGTGTAGATTTCATTAATATTTGCAACCAAGATCCAGCTTGATTGTTTGAGTGGGTTAGTCCAGCTCTACTTGATGAGCTCCTCTTGGGCACACTTTAACTTTGCCATGGGGAGTTCTGCAAAGAGGCTTTTGATTCTTGTTCACTAACAGTTTTGTGTCTTTACTGTAGGTGGAAGAGGTGAAAAAGCACCAGCACTGTTTAGCATTTAGCTCCTCTGGACCTCAAAGCCAGACCTACTACATTTGTTTTGATAACTTCACTGAATATTTGCGATGGCTTCGACAAGCATCAAAGGTGAGAATAGTGCTGATTCCTGCCTGAAGGGGATGTCTGTAGCATTTCCCCCGGTTCTGTCTTCTTCATGCAACAATACAGTCCCTCTTCTGGCTTCATTGTCATGAACTTGCTGTTGCTGCTGTTAGTGTTGCACAAATACCCTTCAATTTGAGAGCTCATGGTAACAGTCAATAGAGAGGTGCAGTTATCTGCATTTATAATGAAACTTCTTTCTACCTTAGTTGTGTAAGTGAAGTGCTGTGCTGGATTTTATCCCTGTTCTCTTCTTGATTCAGCTGGGCAGATGGAGTGAGATCATTAGAACGAAAAGGATGACAAATGTAACTGTCAACATTTCATTTTAAAAACTTTGTTTCAGTGTTAATAAAACCTAAAAGTGTTGTATTTTTAAAATAAATTTCTCACACAGAGCCTGAAGATTAAATTGCTGTAATTAAGGAATTTTTTTCTTGCTTGGAAATGTTGCTGAATCTTTTTAGTTTTATAACTATTTGATTTTTTGTTCTTTTTTTAATAAGCAATCATTTTATGTCAGTAAAAAAATTACCAACTAAAGCCTTAATAAACCGAATTTTGTACTGTGATTAGAGCACAACTTATGGGAATTTAGAATCAAAGAATCACAGAATGTTTTGGGTTGGCTGGGACCTTAAAGATCACCTAGTTCCCCCCCCCCCTCCACCCCCCACCATGGACAGGGACACCTTCCACTAGACCAGGTTGCTTGAAGCCCCATCCAACCTGGCCTTGAATTTAAGGTCTTGCATTATTTCATTTGACTCTTCAGTTCCACTTTGTGTTGTTGAAAGGTTGTTTTTGCAATTATCTGTTTTATTTCTTAATCCCTAACACTTTATTGATAAATCCTCTCCAAAGTAATTTACGTGTCTTGAACAATTGTATTTTCATATTTTTAACATGCAAATTCTTTTGCTGTGCTGTCAGCACTCTCTCTTTGGTTTCCTACTTGTGCCTAAACTGTTCATTAGTTTTACACTTGATAGGGCTGTCTTTTATGCTCTTTACTGTGTTAAAGCAACTTGGTTTTCTGTAGTACTATTTAGAGATTTTTATGATACACTAGATCTGTCTTTTTAGATTGCAATGTTTTATCCAGCCTGTTGCCAGTGGTACAGCCTGGGTTGTGGGCTCTAAGAGGTTTTGATTGTTATGTCAAACTTTCCTCGAGCAGTAACTGTTGCACCTCCCAATGCATGCATAATTTAAAATGTCCTTTAGTTTTTTTTCTAGTAAGTTTTAAAATTCTTTTTAAAGATGCTGTTCTGGCATCCCTGCTCAGGTCTGTTTAGCCTCAAGGTAAAAATCCCCAAGGCATATTTTATGAGATGGTGAGGCATGGTCTGTCAGATTTTTGAGTTCTTGCCGCTTTGTGGCTTTCTCTGAGAGAGTAGTGCCCTTTCATCTCTTGAGGCTTTGACATCAGATAAATGAAAGGCAAATCTAATGAGTGAGAAAAACAGTGGAGAACAATGAACTTCAGAAGTAGAGATAAATGGCAAAAAAGCCCCTCTGAATTACTGGCAGCGTAAGCTTGTTCTGTGCCATGCTGTGCTTCTCTCTTTCTCTCTGGTTCGCCCAAATGACTAACAGCATTGGGATGGTAGCCAGCATGAGAACATATCCCCATGCACTAATGATAACCTTCCATTTTTCTATGTAAGAGCAGAGAGACAATACATAGTTTTAAGTGTCTTTTCAGACTGTAAGAACTTAAGAAACTCACTATGCTATTCTTTTTGTTGTTAAAACATGCTTCGAGGAAAAAAAATGATGCTTTGTTTTCCCCAGCCTCAAAAACTAAGGCTCAGCATTCTAGATTTATGGATTTTGAAACAGTAGTTTGTCACTTCAAGTTGCTTTTTTAGTGTTTGGGTTTTATACCCTTAGACTGAAAGACAGGGACAAGCATGATTGTATGTAAGGCAGTTGTGCGGTAAGTACTTTGCAGTAACGCTGTTTCTGAAGAACAGAAACAGAAATGCTGCGAAAGTAACTCAGATTTCCTCCAGCTGATGCTGTTTGTGTCCACGTGCCTGATTGTAAGGTGCACCATTCCAGATTTATATGTACTAATAAAGGAGACAAAGTTTCATCTTCAGCTCTAGTTCAGGCAAGCTAGTAATCTCAGGCAGGAAGAAACCCCAACATTTATATGAGGTGCTCTGCCCCGGGTGTTTGGAAGCTACTTGAGTTCAAAGATGTTGAAATATTCTTGCTAACCAAGAAAATACCACGTAAAGCATTGTATGTCTAAAGGCAAGCAAATCTAGGAAGGGAGATGTTAACAGCTCTCTAGCTCTGAGCTTCTAGTTGCTTGGTAGGGCTAGATCACACTTTGCTGCTTCTTTAATCGATGTGTATAGTACTTGCACCTTTGTGAATTACCATGAATGATATATAAGACTGTATTTCCAATATAGGTGTTATTTAATGGCATTTGTTTTGAAATTGACATTTGTGTTAACTTCTATTCAGTGGTAGTTCTTCTGCAGTCCTTCGTGCTCCTGATGCGTACTGCTGAAAACTGAGGGTTTTGATACTTACAAGTGTAGTGAAAGCTTTAGTTATAAATTTTAATGCAGAAGGACATCCCTGGTAAAACATTTCATTAAAAATGCTCAATTCTGTTTTTAACTATGAAAAAGATTTTCGTGTCTGTCTTCTGTGTACTTCAAAAGAGCTAGAAGATGATGTTAAAATAAAATAGCAAGCTTAATCTTGAAAGGAGACTTTGCAAAGAATGCTTGCTCTGCAGTCTTTCTCCCCACAGAATATTGGTAATGTTGACTTTTTAGTGGTGTTGCAGAATGAGACAAATCCTAACGCATCACTCTTGCAATAAATACATGTATATGAGAGAAGATCGTAATTCATGTTTGCAGAGACTTGGGCTCAATTTAATTAAAAATGAGCATTGCTCCTGTGTAATCTGATTCATTCTAACAGTGAAATCTTAGACAGCTCTCGTGCTCTGCCCCAGTAAATTTTTTGGAGGTATTTGTGAATAGGTGTTAGGGTTGGTTTTCTTGTATGTGTGTGTACTGAGATGAACAGAAATCCTATTTTCAGGACGAACTGGAATTATTGCACAAATACTGACCTAAATATCAAAGTTGGTGACATACTTACTCCAAATAGGTCACTTTTAGATATGCTGATTTAGCCTCAAACAGAATATTTTTAAAAGCTGGAAATGTGGCTTGTTTGTTAATATTGGTAGTTCTATACCACAGTGCATTTCTTTCCTTTTACTTTCTGAATACTGGAGTCCTAATTAAGGAAGCTCAAAAGGAAAACAACAACAACAAATTTGGTCCTTTGTGATCTAATACGTTCGTTCTGTTGCCAAATGTTGAAAAATAAGCTTATGCAACTGGGAGGGGGAGCGGAGGGGGAAGAAAGGGACATCTGCATGGCTTTAAAGAATTTTGTCTGCATAAAGTTGGCATGAAGGTTCTGGAACTAGCACAATTACTTGCAGAGTGATTCTGATCTGCTGCTGTTTACTACTTGAATGTCAAATGCAGAAGGACAGGCGCAGAATGTGCCATTAACAATGATAAGGGATTTCCTTGTTTGCCACTTCCAAAACCTAAGAAGCTACACCCTTAAATGTAGCAGGAGAGAGAGAGGTTTTATGTATAAGGTGTAACTGAGTAGTGGAACTTGCTGTTGTGAGGCTTATATTTGGGGTGCAGTGATGAGCTCCTGCTGTTTGATGCTTCTAACAGCTAAACTAAGTTTAACATTTTTCAACACATGAAATTGCAGTGTAAGTGTTGATTGCTACAAACTCATGACATGGATGGTTTGGCTGGAGTAAAAAGGGTTATCAGTCCTCTGTGTTCGAAGGCATACAATTACTGTGGGGTGTCAACGTCTGCCTCAGAAATTCAGTATGGCAGAGCTTAAGCAGGGATGTATTGCAGAATTTTATCTTCTTGGAAATAGCATGCATCACTGGGCATGCTGGGACAGGTTATCTGACCCTGCAGAACTTCTCCCCGCTCAGCTTTAGAAGAGCGAGAAGTGTGTCGACAGCTTCACGCAACGATTATGTCCTGCTTTCGTGTTCGATTTGGCTGGGCAGGTAGAGGAAGTGAGGTCATGAGAGACAAGGGCTATAAATAATGTGTGACTGCCTCACATGAGCTGCCTGTGTAGGGCTGCACTGGACATGTGGGTGGGTAGAGATGTATAGGCACACAGCCATATGTGCATGCACACCGCTGACCACTTCCCAGGCTGAGCTGCGCAGCCATGGCTGTAGTGACAGCATGTCTAGTGGAGAATAAGCTGTTGTGTGGGGCTTAGGTGCAGGGGTGGATTTTCAGCTATACGCAAAAGAACCCTTCCGTTTAAAATAGGAGGAATATCCAAAAAGAGGTCCTTGATTTAAAAACTGTCAAAAGTTTTCTCCTGCATGCCTTTGTGTTTCCACTTCCCTGTGTCAGTCGCCTTTGTCTGCAGGTCTGGAAATGTGTGGTGTTCCAGACGACCCTAGCCTGCTGTTAAAAAGAAGAGACTAAACTATGATGTCAGTGTACATTGTGTTTAAAAAGTGCTAAAGATAGCAAGAATAGCAAATTCAAGGAAGAAGGGCGTGCTGCCATATTGGTCTTACTCCGTTCATGTCAGTGCAGAATACTCTCCATACATTTATTTGCACTGTGAAACTAGCAGAAAATAACAACAGATTTGAATATAGTTTATAAAATTTACAAGTATTTAATGCAGGAGCCTCTACAGAGGTAGTCTCCATCTTTCTTCAACGTGTGTAGAGACCTACCTGAAGCAGCAGTCCAAAATTAACTTTCTAGCTCTTTTTTTTCCTCTAAAGTTACCTAGTTCTGACCAGCTGCCTCAGTCTTCTAGCTATTTTTTCAGTACAAGTTTGACGATTGTGTTCAGAAACTATGTTGTGAAGCATGAGCCTGAACCGTGTGAAGAAGACAAAGCTGATGTATGACTTAATA